GGCCAGAACCAAATGCTATTGATATAATAATTGAATAATGGAATGACGCAGACGTGTAGGCCATGGAGAACAAACGGGTTATTAAATAGCAAAAGTTAATTGATCCCTCCAAAAGTGCTCCGACCAAGCCTATATTCACTGACATAACTATCTCAGATACTGTATTCAGTTTTCTTTTTTCTTTTGTGCAGCTCTTACGTGCACAACTTTTCATTCCAAAATCCAGTGGCGTGAATGCCCCTTAAAAGAACATCGCCCACCTTCTCAGTCGCCCTCACCATTGAAAATGTTTGAAGCAGGCTAGCGACCCTCACTTATATCATCGAGCTTCCATTTATTCATCGATCCCCCACTTCACCTTTACGCCCCCATCAATACCCCTAATTTAAGACAATGTCACCGACAAAATATCAGTAGGACTTTATTTTAAAAATAAAAGAATTAACATTGTTCACATCGGCTCAGATTGTATGAAATTCAATATAGAAATATGAAATTGTTATCAAATAGCATACGTGTAAATGGTCGTTTGTTTTTCACTTATTTTCGGGTAAGCAAGCAATTAAAGCCAGGCTCCTAAGGATTTTTATTTATATAATACTGTTGTAACTGCTTTTCTAAGACACAAAAAGGGTGTTTGACAAAATCTCGGGAAGGCTTAATAAGATACAGATTTTTTAATATTTAAAAACTTGAGGGGTGGAGGAGGTGGAAAGGATGGTAACGCCCTTTTGTGTATCGGAAAAATCGGTTGTGCAACATAATCATAAAAAATGTTTTTTTCCTAGAGCCTCGCAATATTTAAAAACTAGAGGGAAAATGTGGAAAACGGGTGGTTGCAACCCCTTTCCCACCAAACACACCATGTTTTGTCCTCCGGAGCCTGCAATAGGCATACTATAGGGTATGAAGCATTCTATGTGTCCCTATTTAGTGTTGCAGTATAACTCGTTGTTACATTGTACTTTGTTGTTAGATACTGTGTTTTAACAGGAAGGTAGCCTACTTGTAAGGGTTACCCTCACTAAGTGATAGGCCTATCAAATACACCGACAATACATTGCAGGGTATCGCACGCAGGGTGGATTGTTCAATATGTTTATGTTTACAACAAGCATAGAAGGATAAACACAAGCGTGTTTTAGTTCACAGTTGTTGCAAATATTCGAATGTTTATTAAAACGATGATTTGTAACTTCAAATAAATATGGACTACTTATTAATCCCCGTGATGACCTAAATGAAGGTCGAAATATTGAATCACAATAGGGTGTCTTACTATTTTTGGAGGCGGAGCACCCTGTCATAAAATATCTAAAACTTATCGGCGGATGGACCTACTGGTAGGCCTATTTTTTAGGGTAGGGGCCTACCAATAGCCCTTCAATTCCAGCTACCGGTAGTGGCCCGAAATTTGGCTTATACTGCACTATAAATTAATAGTTACAACAAATATACACATCGTATAAATAAGAAAATTAAGTATTACGTATCTTGACACAAAACTCATTAAAAAAAAAAAAAAAACGATGGGAAGAAATAAAATAATTATAATGTACAGTACGGTAGGCATAATAAAAATCCAAAACATAAAAAAATAATTCGTAACAATGTAGGAGATGGTAGGTAGCAAACGATTTGGGGGACAGAGGCTTGTTGGTTCTTCTTGCCCAGCTGCCGCCGTCATCATATTGACGATTTTGTTGATAGGAAGGGTGTCTAATACAGGAGATGGGAACGTATCCAAGAGGAAGGGAATTGATAGAGGGAAATGGGTGGTGGTGGAAGGTCCGCTAGCTGAATAAATGAAATGAGAGGCCTATATTTATATTTTATTTATTTATTTTTTTGCTTAGCAAATTTCCAAACAAACTTTCCTGAGAAAGTGGAATCGCTACGGGGTGGGGCTGCACGAGAGGGAACACGCTGTGGTGAATGAGTGGAATTGGTGATTTCATATCGGGATACGGAACAAGATGTCTCATTTTAGTGAATCTATCGTGTTGTTAATTTTCCGTTAGTAAATGTATGGGAAAGCGTATTGGCTTTTGAGGTTTGAGGAGCTTTTTAAACCAAGACGTTGATATGAATTGAAAGAGTGGCATATTATAACAAATGCTACATTGTCTGTATATCTTGGATGCATTTGGTCTTAATTTTTCGTACACCATAATATATCGCCTGTCTCTTATACACATCTAGATGTGTATAAGAGACAGGTATAAAAGTACCTCTTTGGATGAATCGGCGTTTTTTATGTGTATTTGTTTTTTATATTATAAGATATCCTGAAAGAGATTGATCATGATACCGAGCCTATAATTCTCATACATTAGCCTATAGCACATATATATGATTCAGTATTTGCATATACAGGCCTACCTATTTATCTAAGTTAATCGCCGTGTCAAAATGACAAAATTGGGTTCGTTTATCCAGGGAGTGTCTATTGATCTCTTCGTAGGTCTAGGCTACAATCAACACACTCCGAATGTATAACTAAACATTATAAAATAAAAATTTCCCTCCTACTACATCTTCTCTTTGTACTCCCTCTGTTTGTTTATAAGAATCATTGAAATAATAAATGCCTATCACCTCAGCCCTACCATGGTTGGAGATGAGGTAAGACATTTTATGATTATGGCACATCTATGTGCCCGGAAATGACACTATCCGACTTAAACTTTGAATACAATTTTCTTTTTTCTCCATTAAAAAAAAAATTCAAACAAAATTAGGAAAGGGGGGGGGGGGGGGGGGGGCGGTGACTTCCGCACCCTAGGCAAGCCACTGAGTGGAAATAAAATGACAGTACCAACCTAAAATTGTTTGCAAAATAAACAACTTGAACGCCCATTCAAACGATTATGAATGATTGCGTCACTGCAGGTCGACAACTGTTGAAGGGCAAATATTGGGTGGCAACTCAGGACTCGGTTGCGGGGCGTGTATCACTGATCTTGCTCTGTAACTGCAATTGTATTCGTTCGTTTGCGTAGCGTGAGAACGAAATGCGTCATGGGGATACAATAACAATATAAAGAACTCAAATATATGAATATACGGAAGTCATGGTCTAAAGTAAATTTGAGTTGTACCACGTCAATATGATGGTCAATGGGTCTGTTGCGTTTTGTCCACCAATCGTTTATTTTGAAACGCTCCCGGACAGCCTAAACTGGATTTTATAAAGATCCGGTACATGAAAAACATCATCCTGTCTGAGAAACAACTTATCAAACACATAAACAATTCAAATTTACGTATTATTTTGGTTTACAAAAAAAAAAAGAAAAGAAATGTCAAATCAACAATACACCACAGTAAAAAAGAATAACGATGAACATCTATGAATAAATGCTCATCATAGATTGCATTAAACTGATGGGAATGCTCTATGCGATCTCATTAGGTTTCTGCTACAGTGCGCGTAAGTATAAAAAATGGTTATAATTCAACAGTAATCAATCGGTTTTCAATAAATATGATAGGTTCAAAGAGTTCGAAAAGTTCGTTAAGAGGTAGGCTGTACGTCCTTGCACGCTCGCATGGACGAATGTTCACACAAAAAGGGAGTGACACTCAGCATATTTGTGATCACTGATGCCAGAAAATGCAAACAAATCCCATTTATACAAAATTCTTCACAAAGTTCAAGCTATTAATAGATACTAACTGTATCGCTATTGAAACGCGGGAATACGTAAGTAAACTATAGCATTGAGTGGGCTAATCGTCGGGTGAATATCCTAGATAACAGGAATGTTTGAAATCTGTCAGGGAAGTCTTCGGCTATCCACGAATAACATATCTCCTTTAAAAAAAAATATGTGATCTTAAAATAGGCATACACGATTTAATTAATTGATTTAATCATATTCTGCTTTTTACGTAACCCCTCAGTTAAATGTTATCAATATTAATATGTTAGGCCCTTATTGCATTACAAATAACGGTTGGAGTGGACTTGTGGCGAATGTCAAATAAGGCTCCGATCCGCTCTCATATTAATTTCATGGGCCTAGTTTATCCTGTCAAACAGGATTCTTCCACAAAAATAAACATATTTTAACATCCTGGACTGTACACCATAATATATCGCAACATGTTCGCTAATTCACAATGACAACGCATCTTATCGCTTTTTACTAGGCCTAATTAGGTCTATAGGCTATATCAATTAGTTGACATTCCTATGGTATACCATATATATATCCTATGGTATACCATATATATATATATATACCATATATACTATTTTCTCTATGGGTATACGATAACACACGAAGCAATTTCTCTATTTTAAACCTACAAAATATTAATGTAGGCCTATGTGGAGGTAAAATGAAAAATCATAAATGTACAAAAAATGTCGATGAAATACACATGTATTTACCAGTACAGTTCAGTAAATGCAATAATTCAAAACAGGATTTTCTTTTGCTTTCAGTATTACACACAACCTGGGGTTTTAGGGCAAAATTTATAATAATATGATTACATACGTGACGCATAATTTTGATTTCTAATGGAAATTTTGTTGTAAAGTACTGTAGATTGTTGAATCATCGGTTCGGTACCTAGCGACTACGTTTCCATACAACTCAAAATATCATCCAATGTTTACATCTGATGTCCACATAAACAGAAACGAGAGTATGTCTTTGATTGGTCCATTCAACATATGAATATTCATCATATACAGCGGCGAAATGTCTGTATAATAAGTTCTAAAATTTCTTCTTAAACTAAAATTCTTAAATGGAGAATGAACTGTAACTGATTTTCTTAAGTTATTTAATAAATATTGATATTTGTATTTAGGATTTATCCGTATATTTTCTGATAATATAATATTATATCTGCATATTTTGGTGACGTTGCGGCAGATCGCGAGTCAGTGATCGCGGATGAATCTTCTACCACGTGACGGTAATGGTATGTCACAAAACGACGTATGCATTGATCAAAACATTAGCCGTTGTAAAAGGCGCTTCCCCTATAAAAGCGGGGATTTCACTGTTGTACGTCAATTTACTCGTTGTCGCAGAGGGGATAGGTGTAACACACAGTTGCTCTGATATATCAAAATGAATCTATCAAGGAAAATTACCTCACATATACAAGAATTATATTCTATCAATGCCAAAAATATTGGTAAGTATTTGTTATTTTTAGTGAAATTTTCTTTTGTTCTAGCCTCCTAAGCTTGAATTCTACCGCGCGTGGTAAACTCGATTAGACCGTCAGTGCCCGGTCCGAACAGCTGTTTTAATAGCATACCATCGTGTTGTAATTTTTAGGCGCGGTTTTGAATGTCTCGTCTATTGAGTGAATGAAATAATTTTGGTGTCATAATGTATTTTAAATGTATTTTCTTTACTTCCACAGTAAAAGAGAAGGAATCATTTGAAAAAGCCTATCAAGTCGGTCCCGTACTTGGAAGTGGTGGTTTTGGTACCGTGTATACTGGCATTAGAAATAAAGACAAGTTGCCGGTAAGAAATCATGAAAAATTGACATAGGCCTAGCTAATAATTTGTTATGTACTGACTGTAATATAAATAATTATATTTTGGAAGATGGCATCATGGAGAATAGGCTAGGCCTAGGTCTATTCAAGGATTCTACATTTCACAATATATAGGCCTACTTGAAATTTAATTTTTTTCAATGATATTCATTAAATATTTTTTATATTTCAGGTTGCTATCAAACATGTTGCAAAAGACAAAGTAACAGATTGGGTTCAGGTAAATATAATTTTCCTATGTATCAGGCCTTGTATTACATTTATCACAAATTGGCATGTTATCATATGTGCTTTTTATATGATGTACTGTACCAACTAACGAATATTTTTTTTTGTAGGTGGGTGGCCAAAAACTTCCAATTGAAATCTGTCTTCTGAAGAAGGTGAGCCAAATAAAAGGTTGTATAACAATGCTGGATTATTATGAGCGAGTGGACAGTTTCATAATTGTCATGGAAAAACCATCTCCAGTCAAGGATTTATTTGACTTTATTACTGAAAATGGAGCTCTCAGTGAAGAACTATGTAGAGATTTTTTCAGGCAAATTGTTGAGACATTTCAACGTTGCCATGACGTTGGAGTAGTTCACAGAGACTTAAAAGATGAGAACATTCTTGTGGATATGAAAACTGGTGAACTAAAACTAATAGACTTTGGTTCTGGAGCTATTTTGAGGGACACAGTATATACAGACTTTGATGGTGAGTACACATTTTCTGTGATATTCAAGAATGTAGAGCAGAAAAGGCTAAGGCCGGGTCATAAGAATCTATTGTCTGGCTTCATTGATTAAATACAGTGACTTTACTTTAGCTTGATTGATTTTGAATGGTGTCTAACACATTATAAAGCCTCCTAATACAATAAAATAGTATCCTTACTGGTGAGAAGTGACCTCGGTTGTGAACCAATGTGTAGCATGTCAATGGATAATCGTAATTTCCAGAACTTATTTCTTGGCTTACTCCCAACTCGTACATCATAGTAATTTCCCAGTTAACCACCAGAAAAACCCACTTCCCTTCAAAAAACTTGCCAAATTCGGTTTTAGTTATGCATTCAAGATGTATGTAATGTTTGATACAAATTATGATGCTTGCTTTCCCATTACCAAAAATGAAAATATCTGAAATTTATGTTCCGTCTTGTTATTTTTGCAGGTACCAGAGTGTACAGTCCTCCAGAATGGATTAGATTTCACAGGTATCATGGACGTTCCGCAGCAGTATGGTCTCTTGGAATTTTACTATACGACATGGCTTGTGGAGACATCCCTTTTGAAAGAGATGATGAAATCTGTCGAGCACAGCCACACTTCCGTAGAAACCTGTCCCCGCAATTAAAAAACTTAATCAGATCATTGCTATCTGTACGCCCTTCACATCGTCCCACCTTGAATGAGATACTTGATCACCCTTGGATGCAAATAGGCCAAAAAGACAATGCACCCAGGAAAATGTCTGTTGATGACGACGTTTCCTGCAGTCAGGACAGTGTTGGCTTCAGTCCCTGTAGTAGTATTGGATGTAGCCGCGAAGACCTCAGTAGCAAAGACTGTGATAGCCGTTCTACAAGCCCTGAGGCAATGGACACTATACCTTCCAGTCCTGACCTTTCAGACTCTGATAGCGATTCTGATGAAGAGCAAAAATCCCAAAGTTGATGTTCAGCACACATTGTGAATTAGTAAATCAATGAAATTAATTATTTTCTTAATATAATTTTAAGTCAAAAATGACATAAGAAACTTGAAAGTTACTTACTGGTAACATTCGAGTTTCTTTGTAATGTATTGGCGTAAATCGATGTTGCAATTAAGTTTCTGTTGTAAGTGTACGACGATGCAAGAGAAGTAGACAAAGTACGCAGACAAAAGTCTGTTGTATAAACCTGGTGCAATAGCCTCCCTCCTATCCCCTATTGTGTACTGGCCAGTATTGGGTCATTTAATGCCTACACACCCAACTCTGCCCTCTGTACCTGGTATTCAACAGTATCTATATATGTTAATGCCTTGCCAATCTACAACACAGCCACACTTGCTGATGACTGCCAGGTATTTTAATTTGTTAGGAAATGAGCCTTCCACAGGGATTTGCATAAATTGTTTTAAGAACGGGGTCACATGGATTTTCTTTCCTGTAGTCTTTGGCTGCCTTTGTGAATTATAATTATATGTTGGAAAGACTGAGCATTAGTGCGTGTGAGAGGTATGGTGTGTAAGTGAGAGTGATCATGCAGCCAACGAATGGTTTAAAAAAATACATGTGACCTTTAAATTAGATTACCATGCAATTCTGCAAACCCTGCTAAGGAGAAACTTCTATACAAAATAGGTATAAAGAAAAGACGAAGGACAATAATGTGCTGCATTTTAAAATGATTTAAGGGAAGCAGTAGTAAGACATGGAGGCATAAAGCATGTATTATGAATATAATATATTATACGATTATCTTATTGAAGAATGAACTTGATGTTTGGAGGAATTTTAAGTTTGCAAAGAGCGTGACAGGTAATGTACTTCTGCTAACTCAAATCAGTAATTGTAAATAGTTAAATGTATTTATTTCTCAAGTCGATAGCAGCCACAAACTAATATAGTTTGTTAATTTAATTTAATTAATAATTATTTGTGGTTCTCAATCACACAGATTTTAATCAAAATTAAGTTTAATTCCTGCTGCTAGTTCTTATATTATTTTTTGTGGTTGTGTTACAGTATTTATTGTTCGGTAACTTCAAACTTTTTCTCCAAATGTCTTGTGTTCTAACTTCAATGGATGTTTTGAATTGTAAAGAGTTTATTTTTATATGAAATGTGAATTGATAAAAAAAAAAATATGAATAAATGGCATGAATAAGTGCTTGGTTGAAGAAAATTTTTGAATTAATTTTCATTTTTAGTCTCCGTCTAATTGTGAGGAATGTGATGCTATTTGTGAAAGTCTAATGATAATACATTTTGATTTGAGGTTTTGAGTGGTTTAGCACAATATAGTATACATAACATAGAGCAGTAACTGGTGCCCACTAATCACTGACAACAAAAGTGGTGTACCTATTCTACTGAATGTCGACTAGACGATTATATCGCCAAGAAGCATGACTACACATAATTCATATACCTGACGATAACTTCTCTAAAGAAAGAAATCCACAATATTTGTACAGCCAATAATCAACATTCATAGTCCTGCCTATCGTAGGGTCAGTGGCGGCTTTAGGATATAATTTATTGGGGGGGGGGCTGTCTCTTATACACATCTAGATGTGTATAAGAGACAGAGCCAGGGGTGGGAGATTAAAAAAAAAAAAATGGCCGGAAATGGCTGGGATGGGAAAAATATAATATATTTTTTTTGGTCCGACTGCCTAACGAGCTTGTGCCGATGGGGGGGGGGGGAACTTAAGCCCCCCTTCCCCTGCTGGCTCCGCCACTGTGTAGGGGTGGATCCAAGAGAGATTAGCTAAACAAACTGTAATTACATTCAAGATTTATGAGAGTGCCATTTCCAGCCATCTAGAGGTGCCAAATCAGTAAAATGTTGTACCCTTCAACTGTAAAAAATCTCTGCCCCCACCACCCCAAACTCTCTATTCTAAATTCTTATATTAGAAGCGAATACAGTATATCCAAACAATAAAAAAAAAAAAAACTGGATGATTACATTTTGTTAGTACTGTACAGTACTTGTTTTGGTGAGCAATAAACACATTCATTCAAGTGTTTGTAAATACTGTACTTTTTTTTTTTTTTATTTCCTCAATCATGTTTTTTTTTTTGGTTCATAACTATTTCATATAGCAACACGGCTTTGCTGAACACGCCTATGAGCTTCCATGTTACATGAAGTAGTAATAGATGATGACGAAAAATACGACGGCGACAATTACAATTAATATAACAATATTAATATAATTCGCTCCAGGACCCAAGTATAAACATTTTGAATTTTCACAACGCTTCATAATGGATTTATGTCTACGGGGATCATTACTGCATGAGATAAAACCCTATTCAATGATGGTGCATGCATGGCCAATCGCGCAGATTTAGTAAAGCGTAAGTATCGTGCAGTTACCCAGTTAATCGAAACTATTTTAAGACCTGACTTCAGCCTTGGGACGCAAATCGTCTATTTTAGCGCCAAAAGTTCCCACGCTACGTTGACTATGCAATTCACACCCCGAAATCAAATAATTGTCAATTTCTAGTCTGGTAGTGTTCTTTATTAATGTTGGGTGAAAATCAGGGGTATGACAACACAAGGAATAGGCGTATTATAAATGCCCATACCAGGAACAGAGCGAGTCTGGAGATACTGTACTACCTACAAATTTAATTGTATAGCTC